ATCTTTAAAAAAACTAAATTTAAGATGGTATTAGAGCAATCCAGGTTTAAATCCCACCAGCCACGAATTAAATGCGAATTTCCTAAAAAATAACACTGCTACGTGAGTCCAGGTTTCAACCCATAAAAAAGTGCGCTCGACCTGCGGGGGCATGTTAGAATTAATATAAAACTATAATTCTTGATCCTCACCATAACTTCGGAGTTTTTTTTTTTTTTTTTTTTGTTAATCACCAATGTGGAAGTTTTGTACATATCAAAAATCTCATGAATGTGAGATATCTATACAATCATGAAGCTAAAGCTCACTAGAAGAATTATATATGCACAGAGCCTAGAATTATTGTAAAGCTAGAAATCTGTCAGTAAACCAAGCTGACTATATATCACCAATTATCTAAAGATCTTCATCTCAGTCACCAGTATATCAGCAGCCAAAAGTGAGCAGGAACCTAATTTATTCATTTGTGATTTTCTTCAAACCAGCAGAATAGTTGCAGAACCATTCTTTGCATTCTTCCTGGAGGGGACCATTGAGAATTGCAGACAAAATGTTGAATTTTATCTCATTAAAAATCTGCTCTGAAGTCTTAATCTTGTGGTTGAATAGCCTGGCATTTCTCTCAATCCAGATACTGTAGATTGTAGAAACAAGGGCCATTCTCTTAATTCTTTGCTTGAATCCCCTTCCTCTCAATCTGGTACAATACCAATTAATGATTTGCCTCCAGCAGCAAGATTTCCACCTAAAATGCAACCAGTCCATAACCTTGTTCCAAGTATCACTCGAGAAAGTGCACTCAAAGAAGAGGTGATCTCTGGTTTCAGTCTCTGTACAAGTACACAAACAGCAGCAGTTACTAGCCACAATCCCCCATTTAATAAGTCTATCCTGAGTAAGCAATCGGTTTTGGGTAGCTAACCAACCAATAAAGGAATGCCTGGGGATGTTTGCAGTCTCCCAAACAGTGCTGAACCAAGGCACTGCAGTAGAACCAGGGGAGATTTTATTATATAAGGCTGAAATTTTTACTTTGGAGTCTTTCATGCACGATTGAATTAGAGATTTGAGACACTCAGTTGTTCGCGGGAAAAATTGTTGCTTTCTTCATTAATGATTCCATTGTACACTCTTGTAATAGTCTATCGATTACAAAGATCCGGTCTTTTTATAAGATCCGGTTACAACGAAAATCAAATTGAAAAGAAATAAAAATTACAACTTTGTTTCCTTGTTTGTCGAACGAATCGCGAGCTCCTGTTTTGCGGTCGCTCGCTTTGTGGGTTCTTTGCCTGCGCCGGGGTTGTTTGCCGTGGACCACCGCGCGATCTAGATTCGGTCGGATCTACGCAGTACAACGGGTATTATTTCACCAAGGAAATAATAGCCGGGGAGGATTGTTTCACCAAGGAAACAATCGTCCAAGTCTCGGGATCTAAGACCAAGCTTAGATCCGGAGTGTAGCAACGTAGATCTGAGATCCGATCCTCTCGAACACCTGCCTTATTTAACGTTGATGATCGCCGAGCACCAGATCTGGATGAGCAAGTCCTTGATGTCCCAAAGTTGAGATCTTTTTTAGATCTGAGTCTCCAATCCTGCAGGGCTTCGCCTCCTCCAAAATCCAACCCTCTCAAATGAACAAGGGGGTGGCCTATTTATAGGCTACCCTCACTGTGCCTTGGGCACAGGGTGGCCGGCCACAAGTGGCTCGGCCACCGAGCCACCTAGGTAGCT